AGTTAGGTAAATCGGGTCTAATATTGAGTAAGATCCAAAATGGAGGCCATGTTGAGAATGAATTCCGGGAAAAGCAGAACAACTCTTGGAATGTTAATGAAGTCCCTAAACACAGGACAACTCATGGAATGTTAATGTCCCCAAGGCCCAGAGCCCATCCCAAAGAAGTATTAATAAAACAGCTCCCAGCAAACTTGAAGATGCTGACTCATATTCCTTCCTGCCCATATTACTCCTTTGGCCCACCTGTGCCCCACCCTTAACAGAACAAAGGACAGGAATGTGACAGGAAGGGGAGGGGGAACCAGATAAAAAGGGGAAACAACCTCACTTCCACTGATTCCATCTCTTGGGTCCCCTTCTTCCTTGGGAGAAGTCTTTTCTGCTGTCCTTTAATAAAGCCTCTACTTTCCACGCTGACCTTGCCTAGGCGTGCTTCTCTGGTGTTATTCTTCAACATTGGGGAAGCAAGGACTTGTCACCGGTCAACAGTGGTAACAATTAGAGCCTCAGAAAGGGTCGTTATCTGGCCAGGGAAGGCCAAAATTGATGAGGCATCACTAAAGTTTCAGAGAGGGCTGCCATCTGGTCAGAGAGCCAGGCATGGGTGAGTTCAAGGCACAGGCAGGCATCCAAGCAGGTTCAGAATTTGCAGTAATTTATAGTAAAAACCGAAATTATCTTTTCATGGCTTTGTGGCGAGATGGCTCCTAATTTTAAGAGAAAATCAGGCTGGGTCTATCACTGCTTACATCGATCTTGGTCTCTGGTCTTTTGGGGGGTCCCAAATTAGAGCATAACAAGATAAAACATCACATCATCACCAGCAAAGGTTAGTACCCATGTTACAGTTTTTGTCAGGTTCTGGAGATAGAAAACAAGCAGACGTGAGTGGGTAAGTAAGGAGTTCATTAACTGTAGCTTATCTAGAGGAGAAGAAACTCTGCGGGGCAAGTTAAAGTAAGGGTTCCATGTAGGAGACCCTCACCCTCCTGCAATTGGGATTGAGAGTTTAATCTCCTTGATGTTGATGTTGCATTTCAAAGGGATTGAATCTAGTTCTGAGTGGCTGAAGATTCCAATCTCAAAGAGGCAAAGAAAGGGATGATAAATGCAGCTTTCTACAGCAATTGTCTAAGAGAGGGCTCAAGGACACTTCTGCAGGGTGTGTGTGCCTGTGCAGGGTGTGGGCTAGAAGAGCATCCAAGAGCTTTCTCATTGCTGGCACTTTAAAGTGGGACCACCCCTGGGATGTGGCCTTGAACTGCTAGAAGCCATGGTAGAGCTTGGTCAAGGTGAGTCTCTGCCAATGTCCAGGTGGAAAAACATGGATTTTTACTATCTTGTAATTCCCAAGGACTTAGGAGGCACTAGTCTGGGGACAATGAGTGAGGCAGAAGCCACATTTTAAATGTTATAGTGAATGCATGGTAAGTACAAGCAGCCATGTTAGATAAAAGTGAACCAAAACAATATAAGAAGGCTAAAAGTACAGAGCTAGGTAGACAGAATTTTTTGTTTGTTTGTTTTTGTGGTGCTGGGGACTGAACCCAGGGCCTTGTGCATGTAAGGTAAACACTCTACCCACTGGAACACTTGGAACACCCTGGTAGATGATGATATGATGATGATGATGATGATGATTTTAATTCTGGCTGACAACAAGGTACCATTCTTGACTCCCCTGACTGATGGAAAACTCATTCCTTGTAAGACTCATGTCTTCTACTATTTTATTTCTCTAGAATCTGACAAATTCTGTACAGGGTGGGTATAATGAAGCCCTTTACTCATGATGGCCTGATGCTGTATCTTGCTTTTATTGAGGATTCTGCTGTCCATTGTGGGTAAGTTACGGAGAGCCCCACAGGTGTCATCTGGTGGGTTCCTAGCTGTTTGAGAAAAGGAGTGTAGCAAGCGTGAAGCCGCTAGGTGGGTGTAAATAGGGAGTGCCGTCCTTCCTGATCACAGCTCTCTGCCTCACCTTAATGATTTGGGTCAGGCCACAGAGGGGAATTTAGTCAATGTTTTTGTAGAGGAGAGCAGATGACAGAAGAAGGTTTTCAAATAGCTCCACATATTAGAAGCCAGGAGGAAACAGAAGCACGGCCAGCAGTAGATCCTGATCCTTCCCCAGCCTGTACTAGAGGAGTGGGTGACTGTGAAATTGCTCTAAAATCTAGGATACTATTCATGAAATAAAATTCTATATCTTTTTAACCAGTGTGCAAAAAATGCCTCCAGGTACTTGACATCTCCCCTGATTTGTTTCAAGAACCAGCTTCCCGAGGCGCACTGAACAGCATGTCTTTTGCAGTATAACTTAAATATTAATGAAGTCCCACCCCATTGTGATACTTGCACGGTGGAGATAATGAAATAGCTGTGGAACATTCTATATATTAAGATGCACCATTTCTACTATAGGTGTTCAGGCCCAGGTTTTTTTCCCCCTCAATTTTAATCTTCTTGAAAGCCAAAGAGGGTGTGAGTAAGTATGGAAATGGCTGCCTGTCTCAGAGCATGTCATTTTCTTTTTCTTAGCTCCTTTGTCTTTGGATTTTATACACTAGGAAAGAAAGGCATAGACTCCACTGTTGAAAAGTCTCTTTTCTTTTAGAAACCACATTTCTTTGATAGTTCCATTTTTAAAACATATGCTTACTGCAAATAGATTTGGAAAAGACAGAAAATACAAACAGTCATAATCTTTCCCTACTACCCACAACCACCCCACCCCAAATAACCGCTTGCAACATTTTGATGGGTTTCCTTCCTGTCTTTGTTTGATTTGCTTCTATCATTCGACCTAGTTCACAGTGTAGAGAGAGAGAGCCCGCTCCTTAAGGTTTTGCTGTGCACCTCAATGCACCTCATTAACAAGAAAATAATTTTAAATTTATCAAAGCACAGTGACATTCATCATCTCATTTGGTCATCACACCAAACAGACCATTTATCAGGAAACCAAGGTCAGTGAGAAAAGACGGGATCTTGTCCCATCCCACATGGCCCAGAAGGGTCCAATTTGACCCAGGATTTGAGATCCATAGATTCCTTATCTAGAGATTTCAACCTACAGTAATTTTTATTCTTCTCTCCAATTAAAGTCTATATATCTGAGACAGAAATTCTGTTTGAGAGCGAGGACTTGCACTTCCTGTGGTTTATTTTTGCTCCATAGAGTGCATTTGTGTTTAGTGTGCCTTCTGAGCCACCAGCCTGGGAACTTTGCCCCATCACATGCACAAAGCCGTTTGCTCCCCAGACACCCGTTTCCTCTGTCACTAGAACAGTGGGGCTGGGTCCCTAGCAACAGGCATCTGGGGCACCCAGTTGCCTCTTCGGTTCTTCTGCCCGCACAAGAAACTTGCTGCCCACCATCTGCTTAAGTACCTGCTTCAGCCACCTCGTACGTATCCATTGCTGCACTGTAGCTAAGGCAGCAAGGTTCTGCAGGATGCTTGGACCACAGAGAGCTTTCCATCTAAGGGGTGTTTTGACCACCTGGCTGTGCTTACCTTCCTCTCTGAGCCTGGCTAGATTGCTTTGCTGTGAAAAGAAGCCCCATGTTTACCAGGACTTTTAATTTGTTAATTTTAAAAATATATTCCTGTTTTCAGCCTCTTAACCTATAACCCTTTCCCCTCCCCATTCTAACACTTTCTGTAAGCCTCTAAGATTAGGCAGACTTAATAATTAGGTGAAATTCAGGACTTCATGGAAAGGATTTTAGAGAATGAAATTGAGGGTGGCTATAGAGGTTTTAAACAAAGGAAGAAAGGGAGAAAAAGAGACATGGGAGAGATCATTGGAAACTCAGGAATTTCTGAGCTGGACATTTCAACAAAAAGAAAAGTCACTATTCAATGAATGATGGAGCTGTGAAATTTAACAGCTGATTACTGATTTTTGGAATATGTCACCCCAACACTTTGAAGCTCATACTTCTTCAGCTAGAAATTCTTGACAGCTTTATTTTCAAATACCAAAGACTATTTTTAAAATCAAAATGTCTTTTCACATAGAATTCTTATAATTTTTTCTGAAAAAAAAAAAACAAACCATTGTGGTCCATCTCTTCCTTGCACAGTCATAGCCGGTCAATTGCCTGGATCCCCACTCTGTCCCCGTGGCCAGTCCTTGGCAGTTATGACCTGGGACTATATTATATCATTTCTGTCAAGGTTCTTATACCACTTACTTCTGGATTTTTGTTCTGTTTTCTCTTCATCTATTTGAGACCCAGTGGAGAACTTACACGCCAGTGAGAAAAACAACAAGATACCTGCTGTTGAAGGATTAGTGGGTGAACCAGTCCAGGTGGCCCAAATGGTTGCTTCTCTTTTCTCCTTGCCCAGGCTTAGATCACCTTGCACAAGTGGAGTGTCTGCCACCCCTCGACGGCTGTCATTGAATCTTTATCCAGCCTCCCTCTCTGAACCTCACCTGGACTACTCTTCAGAAAAGCATGGTTGAGGCCACATTTGGATGCTGTGGTGAGCCAGCTAGTCAACCCACCTTAACCCATCATAGAGAGTGGTCCCCTGAGCACCACCAGATATTTAGACAAGAGCCAAGCAACCAAACCACCCTTTCTGCCCCAAAAGTAGCTGATATTTTTTGGTGAACTTGGTATTTTGTTCTATTTGGTCAAAATTGAAATCAATGCTGTCCAATTAGCTTTCTGTTTATCATCCCTAGAGAACTCATCTCATAATATATGTGAAAGATTAAAAATTTCACCTTATCTTTTGGTGCCAAATAGTTTCAAATTTCGCTTCCCTTAACTGATTGACTCAAGTCCGTTCTTTGGTTTCAGATCTATCTGCTGCTCTCCCAGTGGGAGCAGTCCTCCTCCATAAGTGGAAGAAAACCCAGGATCCTTGGGTTCCCATGAAGCTGTTCACACAGCCCCTGCTCATCTACCAAATTTAAGTTTATCAAAGCACACTGACATCCATCATCTCATTTGGTGAGATGAATTGGTGGTGTCCTACCTGAGCTCATTTTCAACCCTGAACCCCTTCCTGCGGGCCAGCTCCATGAAGAAGGCTCTGCGGGTGGTACCCATTTTCTTCTCCAAAATGAAGAGGACCAAATCTCGAAATCTGATGTCATGAGGAGCGGAGGTCATGGAGGCCCCAGTCTGCCTGGGTCTCTTCTTCCGGGGACCCAAGTGGGCGGTTGGCAGTGGATCCATGGGGAGAGACTGCTGTGCCCCTGGCTATGATGTCTCCAGAGTGATACCTCCAGAAGTGAGGGGGAAGAAGCCCTCCTGCATAAGGGCTCTGATGTCATCGCACTGGCAGATTCTGCAGGAGGGCAAGGCTTTGTGGGCACTGCCCCGGTAACAGCTTCCTGCTGAAGGAATTTCTATCTTTGTTGAGTTTCTTCATCTTAACTCTTGTTTCCTTATGCATAATCTCATTAGCTCCTCAGAACAGAAAAACCTTGGGAAGAAGGCAGGGAAGCACCCTTGTTTGCATATTACTTACTCATATCTTTTTTTTTTTTTAAGAAAGAGAGAGAGAGAGAATTTTTTAATATTTATTTTTTAGTTCTTGGCGGACACAACATCTTTGTTTGTATGTGGTGCTGAGGATCGAACCCAGGCCGCACGCATGCCAGGCGAGCGCGCTACCGCTTGAGCCACATCCCCAGCCCACTTACTCATATCTGAATGGGTTAGGGGCCTTCTGTTGTCTTCATTTATTGATCTTTTGAATTCCCAACTCACTTGCTTTCTCTTCTTCTCAAAAACAGTCATTACTGCAGTTTGCATGTGTGTTACATGTTGCATGTGCTTGCTTTGATTTTACATAAAGGACATGGCTACATTTCTTACTCTGCTTGTCACCCAGAACTTCTTTTCAGATCTGTGTTCTACTCTGCTGCTTCTGCTTGCTCCACGGTACTTTGTGGTGGGCAAAGACCACATGTTCACTTATGTGGGTGCATTTTATAAGTAAGGAAACCAAGGCTCAGATAAATACGAGATCACAGAATAAGGGGCTAAACAAGGTCATGAATTCAGTTCTTCTGACTTCAAGTACAGTTTTTGCAATGGACTGAGGTTGTCCAGAGTGTAGTCTATTCTATAACTCTAAAATAGTTATATAATCTGTCTTTTGAAATAGGCTGTGACTTCAGCTAATAATCACTTTCACCAAGAATCACTGCCATAGAAAGATATTTTCATTACTTTCTAGGCAAAATGAAGTTTGTGACTTTCATCCACACACTTGATCTCATTTCCTGAGCACCTACTATGTGGATAAGCACCTACCATTTTTTGCTAACTAAATCCTTACAGAGCTACTGTCATGTAGGTATGGCCATTCTAATTTGTTTTTTGATGAAGACTACAGAGTTCATAAATGGTGACAACTAAGAAATAATTGAACCAAGATAATTAAAATTATCTAATGAAGAAAACACAGTCTTCACCACCAGGAAGCCTTCCTGTACACAGGTCTTCCCCAGTAACAAACCAGAGCTCTGCCCACCTTCCCTGCCATATTACTTAGGACTTTGACTACCTCCAAAAGCACGTGAGCACCTCGCTGTGATACCAGGGAAGGAATAATGGAGACACCTTCATGCATCTGCAAAGCTCTCCATGTTGCTCAGGAAAGCAAACTTGGAAATATTCAGCTGCAGGTTGTAGAGTAATAGATTTCAGCTCTGCAAATAAGAAGTTTTTAATACAACTGTCAAAAATATAGGGAGCTGCTGTGTATGTGGTATGTTAGAAAAGTGTTCAAGCAGATGCTGGACAACTCTTTATTGAAATATTACAGAAGGAATTAAAACATCTGGAAGGGTCTTTAGAGATTCCAGAATACTAGGATTGTTTGCTCAAGATCAATATTTGGAGAAGAAGCCATTTGGAGCCCAGTTTGCTAGGTGTTTGGTTACTGAGGTGATGAAGGCTTTATGTCAGAAACAGTCCTAGCTACCAGGTGGTCTCACAGCATGGAGAAAGCAAAGTAGTCTAGCCAGAGTCTGGGGTGGTTGTGTTCATTCCCAGGGTGTAGCCACGGACTGGTAAAGGTGTGCCACCCAAACAGTAAAGGGACAGGGCGATAGTAGAGAGTTGTAGATAGGAGTTCAGGCAATGATGTCAGACTGGCCATAAAAATTCCACTTCCACTATTTGGAAGCTGTGACCTTGAGCAGGTTACTTAACTTCTTTAAGCCTCAAATTTCTCTAGCTGTAAAAGGAGGGCTGAAATAGCCATCGAACCTGCTACGCAAAGTGTTTGACACAGGGGAAGCATTTTAAATACATGTCACCAGCAATTTGTGTTTTGTTTTTAAAGCTGCATCCTGGTTCAATCTGAAATCTGATCTATATGTTTTATAAAACTATTGAATCATCAAAATATCACATTCACCAATGTCATGATTCATGTTTTGAATCACTTATATTGAAAAGATTACCAACAGTATTGATTGATTGATTGATTGACTGAACCCAGAGGGGCTTAACCACTGAGCCACATCCCCAGCCATGTTTTTTTTTTTTTTTTTTTATTGTATTTAGAGATGAGATCTAGCTGAGTTGTGTAGGACCTCACTAAGTTGCTGAGGCTGGTTTTGAACTCATGATCCTCCTGTCTTGGCCTCCTGAGCTACCAACAAAACTTTTAAATGTGATGGTGACTGTGTGGTCCTTTCTCTGACAGGTTCCACCAGGTTGGAGCCAGAACTGGGCAGATCCTATTTCTCTTTTGTCAGCTGAGTGAGTTAGGCTCGGCCAATAGGGGGCACTAGAGGGAGGCTGCAAGTGGGGAGAGTTGGAGAAGGAATTGGTGCTTGTGTTTGTTGCTGCTCTCAGGGTCTTCTAGGAATAGCTGTTCAATCTGGCCTAGTAATTGGTAAAAGCCTCCGAATCTGGCACAACCAGATCCAGCTTCTTTACGGCCTTCCAAGCTACCAACACCAGCCAGGCAACATCTTTTTCTCAAAGATCGAAATCCCAGCTCAGCAGGGATTTGCCTGTTAATGTGGATGATACCCACAGCAGCAGGCAGCACCCCCTTTTCAGAAGTCTGTGTTTCAGCTCCATGGGGACCCTGCTCCACACTGCCAATTTCCAACAACCCCAGCTACATCCCTTTGTTGTCCCAACCCTAGGAATGGGACATGCTTCCTGAAGTCACTCTTTTTGAGTGTCCTCTTTTTGCTTCTTTTCAGCCTTCAGAGGCCCAAATCTAGTTTTCTCTGTTGGAATCCCATGCTGCACTTTTCATTTTCCTAACTGGACCTGGACTGATACAATGTCCAGTGGAAGTCAGCGTGTAGAAAATGGGGACTCCCTTATGCTATTGGAGGCACACTCTTTCTAAAGAGAAATCTGACCTCAGTGTGAAAAAATCTTTAAGATGTCCAAATTGAGGGCAACCTGACATTTCCATTTTTTTTTTTTTTAGGAGACAGACACATAAAAATATTTGTCCCTAGATATTTGCCACATTACCTGTACAAGGAAGACTTAGAAACAGTGTGAGCATCTAGTAATAGGGGACTGATAGACTTGGTGGAGCAGTATGCAGCCACCTAAATCATCCAACTTGAGACTATTAAACAACATGGGTAAATGCTCATAATATAATATTTGTACAATCAGCCTACAACATAGTGATAACTGTATGATACTGACTTTGACAAAGAAGACTAGAGAGACACACGCAAGCGGAACATTAAAATAGTGGATTTCATACATTGTTGTGTTTATTCATCATTTTTTTTGTCTGCTTGCTTTTCAGTGTTTTACAAATTTTTTACAATAAACACAAATCAGGCTTATAATCACAAAGCGAATTACTTAAAAAAAAAAAAAGATTTCCATGAGTTTACACCATTGGCCTTAGTGAAGAGTTATGATTCAAAGGCAGTCAGGTTGTCACAAGTAAGCTAAACAGCAGTTGACCGTGTTTCCTAGTCCCCTAGCCTACGAGGCTGAAGGACAAACACCCTTGTATTCCATGTGACAGGCACATCTTCCTGGGCCATTGGCCACTGAAACAGGACACCACTGCTGGAGAAAACAGGGGATTTGTTTCCACCTGCCTTTGATAATTTACTGAAACTGGCTCTCTGAGGATGGAGTTTGTGCCTTCTGATTCCATTTTTCTTCCTCAGAGGGTTCTTTCCAATGACATCAAGTGACCCATGCTAGGATCACATTTAGGACAGTGGAAGCCATTGTGCTCTGGTTTGTCCCTTACAAAACACATTAAAATTTGGTTGCCATTGTGGTGGCGTTGGGTGGCTTCCTTTAAGAGGATGAATGCCTTCCTCGTGGGAGTGAGTACTCACTGTTATGGGATGGATCAGCTGACACAGGAGTGGAGCCGTCCTCCATGTTTGTTCCTCCTACACAGATCCATGTGACCTTTTGCTTTCCACCGTGGGTTGAGGCAGCACAAGCCCCATGCTTTTGAATTTCCCAACCTTCAAAACTGGGAATCCAAGTAAACTTATTTTCTTATAAATGACCCAGTCTTGGGTATTTTGTTCTAGAAACAGAAAATGGACTAACATGTGGTCATGGCTTCATGAAGGGAGTTGGGAAATCCCTCAGCACCACCTTAAAATTGAGGACACCAAAGTCTCTTTGTCATTTCAGGGATTATATTATATCATGCTATTGAAGTGCCTTGAAAATTAGGAAACACAGTACCAAGGTCAGTTGTTCTTATCCTCATTGGCATTGCTGCCAATGGCAGAAATGAATTCCATCTTACCATACCATGATTTTCTGGAGATACTTGCATCAAATGTGGAGCACCCCCTCACTCCAGTAGATTGCTCAATAATTCCCAAGCACCTGGTGTCAGCCTAACACCTCCAAAGTTTGTTTTCCTTTAATGCTACTTATTGATGGAGGGCTCAGCTCCATTGGAGACTCAGCTGATGGAGGCTTCACACGTTTGGGTCTGCAACATCTGGACTATGAAGCCACCTCAAACACTGCAGCAGAGAAGATAGCACTGAGGTTCTTGCATCAAGAGTAAATGCTTTGCCTTGGAAATGATATATATTACTGGTGCTCATAGCCCATTAGCTAAAAATAGTCATTCAGCCCCTCCTAACAGCAGCAAGCATGGGAAATGCAGGGAAAAGTGGGATTTGGGGGAGCTTTCCTGTTCCTACCATGCCCAGCATCAAGCTTAGAACTGGCTGATGGCTGTGGAGACTCCC